GTGCGGTGATCTGGGAACCAGCAGTTTAATTTTTCTGGACCCCTTTGGTGGGCACGCCCCCCAAAACTGGCGGCTAAGACCTTGGGTGTCGCCGCTGGTGGTAAGGGGAGTTGGAGATCGGGAATCCCCTCTGCTTCCCTACAGACATGCCCCTGGAGAGATTCCCGAGGTTTCCTGGCTGCTTGTATCTAGAGGGGATGGGAGTCACACACCTGCTAAAGTGGATTCCACTGGGAAGGAATTCCGTTGGCCGACCCTGATTTAACATATTTTAATAAACAGAGAATATTAATGTGTGGGTCTAGGTTTCAGTTCTTGAAGCAATAAACACACTCTCCAACAACACACTTGGACATGAAAATACACTTACTAAGAGAACAGTAGCAGCTCAGAATGTGGCATGTACTCACAATGAAAGTTCCATGTTGACTAGTCACCATGGTAATGTGGGATGCACATCTTACTTTCCATTTCCACTCAGTTGATGGGGTGAGTGGGTTGGTATTAGTTAGAGTTGGAGAAGAGTAGTGAGGTTTTGAATTCCTGGACGGCCATGAGAAATCTAAACTGCTGCAGGGAAGGTATGTTGTCAGTGATATTTTCAAGGCTGTGTCTTCAAAGGCAGTTAACATTTACTGAATATGTTTTCCTCTTGATTTTTTTCATCTCTGACACTGAATCTTCTCTCATGAGATTTAAGTATTTGGTAATATTATTTTAATCACTCAATTCATAAATTTGCTTTTTCTATTTTTCTATTTGACCTGGTTATTGAAAATGTTTTTCTAAATTTAGAAAAATGAACCATTCCTAATGCCAATATCATGTGTACTCTTAAAGTGAATAAATAAACACCTCCCCAACATGTCTCTTCTTGAGTATCTGCCATGGGTAAGGGTCTTTGTTCCTCAAAGCGTGTCTGTCTTTCTTGGTCTCCCTCTTTTTGCAGAGTCAGTCCAGAATCCTTGTTTACAGGTCATATCTGTAGGTTTCCTGTATTGGGACCTGTCCATGTGAAACTCGGGAGCCTGTGCTTCTGTAGCGTGTGCCCTGTGGAGACTCACCTCCACCACTCTCATCTTCAGTCACTCTTCTCCTGCCTATAGGTTATCCAAAGCCTCCTCTTATTTTCTTCCTCCTAAGTTTTCTGAAACCCAATGTGTGTCTGGGGTCTGGCCCTGGCCATACTTGAAGACTTGGAATCCTTTGTACCACTTACTCCTTTCCTGAACTTTGATCCTGAGTTTATGGTCCAGGATACCTGGGCTGAATTATGATGTGTTGTTCCCCACTTTTAGTCCTTAGTATCCTAAGTCTTTATAAGTTCACCCTTTGTCATTCCAACCATGTCTTTTATTTCTTCTTCCCCTTAGATTGGGCCTCAAGTTAATCCCCTAATTAGACAGAAAAGTGCCCAACAAGGGCCAACAGATCATAGTACTTCTTATGATATGAGATGATAGGGTCAAGACAGACAGACAGGCAGACAGAAAATGAAATCTTAGTAGTTCATTCTGTGCAGTCTCCTGCCTCTGGAATCAGAATGAACAGCTGCCTACAAACCACTGAGATAATCACAAGTATCTGAACAGAAAGGGAAGAGTTCAGTGTTCCAGAAATAAAATCTAGAGAGACTGCTTGTCCCAGAACAGAGACAGGACACAGAAAAAGTAAAACAAGCAGAAAATTTTCCCCAAGCAAAAGAACAAATTGTCACTCACCTAGGATGGTCAATTTTGGTCCCTCTGCCAAACACTCTATACTATGACACAGACTTGTGCAAAAATCCCTTTCTGCCTTGCCCTGACCCTCCCCCAACCAGCTGCATCTGTGCCGGCTGCATCTACTGATGGAACTGGGCAACATGCATGAAAGGAAGTTACCTTTGCTGAAAGATGATCAATACATGATTCCCTTCTCAGGAGCCACACCCTAAGAAAAGATCTCACCAAAATGTCAACTATACCTTTTCATGTTCTCCATGGAAGAAGCATTTTTTGGGAAAGGAAGAAACAAAAGTACTCAGTGACAACTCCAGGCTCCCATGGGCTGTGTGGAAATTTGGAAAAGTACCAGAACCAATAGCTCAGCTCCTCTTAGGTCCTGCCTGTCCTGAAGCCACCAGAGGGATGTCGGAATTATGACAGATAATGACAGGTCAATATCACATGCAGAAACCACCATTTCAACTCTCATTTCAGGTTCCTACACACAGAGGAACAACCACAAATAACAACTGCACTATACTCAGAAAAAAGTATATATATATATATATATATATATATATATATATATATATATATATATATATATATATATATATATGACATTTAGGAGAGATTTGATGAGTTCCTGATTGTATTTTGATATTAAGATATCATTGATAATTTCTGCTTATGTTGGATAGACATATTTTAGTTATGTCTCATTGATCCAGTACAGAGTAGAATATTTGCAGATGAAAAACAAGATGTCTGGCATTTATGTCAAAATATCATATAAGGGTGTTGTTATTCTGTTGTGGGTGGATCAAAATCATCTGTGAATTGATAATTTTGATAGGTGGTTGATGAGACCATTGGGGTCATTGTTATTCCTGTTTTCTTTTGTATTGAAAATTCTCATCATAAAAAACAATTTTTAAAAGGAAGAGGAGGTTATTCTTGTGGGAGTGAACTGGGATGGGGCGGATCCTGCCACTGTGCCAATGAGGCCATTTATAGGCCATTGGATAGTCTCAGCTTCTATATCCTTACCTTGGAGTCGGTTTAGTGCCGAGGCATGTTAAAGCTGAGGTTTGTGATCAGGTGTGTCCATAATCAAGGTCGAGGAGAACCCCTTTTCTGTCCCATTGTGACTCCAGAACTTCTTGTCTTTGCAAGCACTATCCTTGATTTGGCAGTCCTGGTGAGGACATTTACCATAGTCTTAATGAGGTGGACACTCAGAGAGGGGGCCTATGAGCAGCTGGGGCACAGCGGATTAATAGAGACAGCTAAGGATGCATATTTAGGTTACCTAACCCATTGTCATGGCCCCTGAGAGTGTGTCTCTGATTTTGGGCTGGAGATGCTCATGATTGAGCCATATGAGAGAGGAATGTATGGGCCTTGTGGGACGGAGTATCTGGGGTCTCTGAGTCACCCTGGAAACCAGATCTTACTTGTAGCTATTTTCATACATTAATCCTGCCCTAATTTATTCTGACCTTTACACAATTCTTGTCTTTAATTGATCTCTGACACATCTTCCTTGGAAATCAATGAATTCTGGTTCTGTGCCCAATTTGGTGCCTTTTCTCATTTGCCTAATTTCTTTCATATCTTTTTCAACTGTTTCAGTTTTCTCCTTTTACAGGTTGACCATCAAACAACTCTAGCCATCAAGTAACCATAAATTTCTTCACCTGGAATCTTATGGTCCAATCTTTCAGGTTTCATTCCAACCCCATGATATTGTCAACCTTAATCTTGATTTCACATTCATTGGATCATACAGTGATCATTCCTGTATGATTTTGCTTTACCCTCTGTTCCCCTAACTATCTTCATGAAATATGAGTCTCTTTGAGAGTACCATAGAACTCCCAAGAGTGGAGAAACAGGTCAACACAATGTGGAAAATACTGTTTCATTATATTAGCTGTTTTTCCTACTGCAGAAGTTATATCTTTATTTAGCTAACATACAATGTGAAAGGCTGAGAAATACACATGTAGAATTCATTTTTCAAGCCTTCCATGATTCCCTGGTGATGACAAACTATGGAAAACTCACTTGGTCAATAGTCTCCCAAAATAGTTCCTCATAGGAAATGGAAAGTTCAAACATTGTTCCTGCTAAGACCATTAGCTTGGCTCAAGGGTCTAAATATGCATCCCTAGCTGTCTCTATTAGTCCTCTGTGCCCCAGCTGCTCATAGGCCCCCTCTCTGTCATATTTCTACTTTTATCTTGTAGCTGAGCTTCTGGAGTCCCCTTTATTTTTCCCTAATTCCACATAATGGCCAATGCCATTCTTTTAACCAGGCCTATGTCCCTTCCAGGTAGGCAAGGTAATTCTGCAGGGATAAAATTTCTGCCCACAGTCCCCACCAGCATAGGGAACTAACTCACCAAGTCTATGGTGGGTTTGGTGGATGGTGTGAGAAGGAGATGGCATCTCACACAGCCTTTGGGGAAGCAGCCCTTACCCACCCTTACACCCTCTGATGACTCTTTAAAAAACTGTAGTTGTAGATGGACAACATGCTTTTATTTTATTTGTATATATTTATGTGGTGCTGAGGATAAAACCTAGTGCCTCGGATATGTAAGGCAAGTGCTCTGCCCCTGAACTACAGCCCCAGCTCTAGTTGATTTTACCTAGCAGCCAAGTTGTTCTCTGAACCTTTCATTTGCTTTCTCATTTCTCATCACGTGAGTTAATCACACATGCATTCCCTTTGAGGGAGGCAGGAGTCTGATGCGTGAATCAGGAAGGCACCAAGCCCCAGGGTTTAGGGGATCCAGGATCCTGAGCAGTGACATTTTTTTTGCCTAGAGACATAACCAGTTACCAGTGGCACATTAAAAATGTGAAATGATACATGATTAGGTCTTTATTGATGAGATTTATGAATGAGGAACATGTGAGATCAACCTGGTGTGACCTTGTGTGTTGAGGGCTCAGGAATACAGTAGACAGTTAGGAAAATGGGTATTTGGTTGAGGAAGGTATCTCCTGGGGTTATTCCCCAAGAGAAGATCCAAATGGCCCTAATTTTCCTACTGGGTGCCAGGATTCCCTTCACCCTACACTGAGAACTCTGAGGCCATTGCAACTGAAGTAAAGATAAGAACAAATAAGATAGAGCAATATTTCTGATTCACAATGGGATATTTTATTGAGCAGTCAGTGGGTTCAGAGATAAGGACTCAGTGGGAAGACTAGAAAAAGGAGGGGTCACTCACTAGGGTCCTTCACTTCCAGGATCATGAGTGTAGAGTGAGGGACAAAAGGTTAAGAACATCCTGCAGGGGACACACTCTTCTCCATGGTGTTTCCTTCATGTGTGACCTGGTAGCTAAAGCTTTTGTGAGATTTTCCTTTGTCTGGTGTGATGGTCAGGTAGCTGCTGGCCATGTACTTGTTGTTGGTCTGTTTAGAGGGCTGCGTAGTCTCGACACCCTTGGTGATTGTGGTAATATCTGCCTTCCAGGTCACAGTCACAGCACCAGGTAGAAGCCATTGATCAGACACCAGTGTGGCCTTGCTGTTCTGTAGCTCCTCAGAGGAGGATGGAAATATAGTGATCAAAGGAGAAGCCTTGGGCTGACCTGTGTGAAAATAGAAGTGCTGTGGGAGAGCAGAGGACAGCCCAGGTGTTGGTGATGCCTGAAAAGCTTCTGAAATCATTTTCATCTTGGTTTTCTTCTCCCCTCAAGGACTCTCCTTCCCTTTTCTTTCCTTCCTTGTGAACTTAAGCCACCTGGAGAACAGACAACCCTTTCCAAGTGACCTCTACCAAATAGTCTGTGTCCCTCCCCTTTGTAGCCTTAGTTTACCAGTTGTCACCAGGGTAGGTTGTGCTCCCTCTTTCCTGGTCTGAAGTCCGAGTTTGGAATTTGGCCCTGACCTCCTAATTTGGCCCTCCACAGTCCATATTTCCACCTCTTTTTATCCTTCTAGTGCCCAGAACCACCTCTGTGAAGTGATGAGTGCTCTTGATCCATCCAGGATGGAAGGATGGTTCTGTTCTGTGTGAGAAAGCCTTGAGCCGGTATTCTGTTCACAGGGTTCCTGAAACTTCTTGTCCTCCTCAACATCAGGTTCTTCTCCAGCCTGGTACTCTAAGCTCTTTTGGAAAGGAGTTGTGTTCTACCCAGACAAGTCAGGGCTCCTCTAAGTCTGCCACCTCCTCATTACAAGGCCCTTTGACTCTGCTGTGTTCTTGCAACTGCTCCCTGACCCAGACTATGGTACAGAAGCCCTCACCCACCCTCACACCCCCTGATGACTGTAGAATTCACCTAGCATCCAAGTAGTTCTGTGAGCTTTCCATTTGCTTTCTCATTTATCATATTCTGAATTTAACATGTGCTTTGAGGAAGGCAGGACTCTGAAGCATGAACAATCAAGGTCTCAATCCCCACGGTTAAGGGGCTCCAAGAACAGAGGAGTCTTTACTTCTTTCTGAGGACCACCCTGGGAGGGCTGAACTCTGGTCACTTTGCCTAGTCTAATCTGGCTCTGAAGCCTTCTGCCCTCACGGCCCATTAGAGGACTAGACTGGTGCATCTTAGAGTGAGCCAGATCTCTCACTCTGTCTTCTGTTGGTTTCTATTTGTGGTAAACTTTTGAGTGCCTAGGGACTAGGTTCCCAACTCCAGTCTTGGCCCTGGATGTTCTGTGAAGCCTTCCCAAGCTGGATGAACATCCAGCCCTCAGCCTAGATTCTCGAGGCTTGTGAACTCTCACTAAGGCCTAGTGGCCCCTAATTAGACCTGGCTCCTGGTCTCCCCTTGGTCATCAGCCCCAGAGGAGGGAAATGGACCCTGTCCCTGTCTCCAACCCAGGCCTCCAAGATAAGGCCATATCCCACTGTTGGAACCTGAAGGTGGCTGCTTCTGCTGTTGGGACCCTTACTCCTGGCTACCACATGACCACCAACCTTCCCTATACCCCATGGAAAAATGTAAGTTGTCTGTCCCTAAGACAAGATAGTACAGAGGGGAAGAAGCCCTTAGATAGAGAAAATAGACTTTCCCAAGACCAGAGGATATGGAACAGATTGAGAAAGGTCAGAAGAACCACTTATCTAGAATAGTAAGCCAGGTCTCACCACCAAAGACATACCACAGTGATTGAGGCTTGGACTAAAACCCATAGGTCAACACCTGGGGTCTGCTCCCTAAGGGTTGGGCAAGAGTGTAAACCTATTGGGCTTGATGGGTGGGGTTGTGTTCTTGGCATAATTCAGGTTGTTGACTGGTTCTCCAGACACTCATCCCCTGTCCCAGGCATGCATTGCCCATGGCCTTGGAGATACCCTGTGTGTGTCCCCTATCTCTGGGGTTCTCAGTGTTGACAGAAAAGCTAAAGCACAGTTGCTGCTGAGAAAACCCCTTATTGATGCATATTCTTAAGTGGTTATGTGATGTGGGAGAGAGTCCTGAGCTGGCTTGGACCTGCTCAACCTCTCCTGGCCTCATTTTAGAACTTCTGAATCTCCTTTGGATAAATTCCCAATTGTCCAGCCCTGACAGTTTCTTCCCTGGATCCACAGACACTGGGTCATGCCTGACTTAAGGAACCTTCACATGGAGATTCTTCTACTTGCATTTCTACCCATGGAGACAGCGCAGTCCCACCACATTCATGAAACCTTCCCTGATCTCTTAGAGGACTCTTTGTATCCATTAATACTTCCATTTATCCATCCATCCATCATCCATCCATCCATCCATCTATCCATTCATTTATCCATACATCCAAAATATCTATGAAATAACCACCTACCTCAGGCACTGTTTTGCATGCTGGGACATGGTAGGACTCCCTTAGCTCTCATCCTCATATTTTCCTGAAACTTCTCAAGTCAAGTTCTAAAAGGCTCTTGTGTAAATCTGTAGGTCTTTCTCAGTAGCCTGATGTCTCTGCAGGAGTTCCCTTTTTCTGGTCATTCTCTTCTCCTTGGTTGTGGAGATGGCCCACTCTCTTGTTCCCATAGCTTCCTTTTCTCCCTGACCCATGCATAGCTGATGATCCTAGACTATCACCAGGTGCTTTTTCCTCTGTACTCTTCCCACTGTTTCTGATTTGACCCTAACCATGCACTCGCACAACTGTCCAGGAGTCCCAGATCTCTGTCCCTTGCTCTGATGTTTCTTCTTGGCTCCAGATCTACATATGTCTTGATTTCTGCTCCTAACTGTGCTGGAATGTCTTACAGGCACTTTGAACTCAAGAGCTTCCAACTAAATTTATTTCCTTGAAAATTTGATCCCCTGAAGTGTCCTTATTGCAGCAATTTGTATCTAAATGAGAGGTCTGGAATCACCTTAGAATGCTTTCCCCTCATTGAATCATCTTGTGTATCCTAGACCTTATACCTCAACACCATATACTATAAAGATACTCAAAAGAAAAAGGAAGTTACAGAAATTATACTCTGAAAATTGATTGGTGGCTTTGTGAAATCTGATTTTATCTTTTAAAAAAAGATAGTATATTCACACTGGAAGATTATGCACTACATTGGTATCACCATTTTTATTTATTTATTTTTTACCTTAGCAGCAGAACTAATCAGCACTGGTTGTATTAAAGATATGTAGGTAGGTTTTTTGAAACAGAATTTAGTGTAATATTAATATGAATCCAATACTTGTTTCTGAATAAAAAAGGAAACATTTATCCTTGCATGTAGGTATTCAAGGAAATTTCCTCAACTTATTAAGAAGTGTCTTCCAAAACTTACAACAACCTTCATAGTTAAAGGAAAAAAAAAACATTTTCATTAGAAACCAGGAAAGTTGCTCACTCACATTGTTCAATATTCAACACATTCTATCCAATGTAAGGAGATGAAGGGGAAAACGTTATAAGTATTCTGAAAAGAGAGAGAAAATGTTTCCTGCAAATGATGTGCTAGTCTACTATAAAAATAACCAATCAACTTAAGAGAATTAGTTGAACTGTTAGAACTCATACAAGAATGAAAGTGGCTGAATGTAAGAGTGACATGTAAAAATGATTAGGTTTCTCTGCTGCATAAGCAGTAATTCTTTAAGATATGGAATTGTGGGAAAATTTCCACTTCAATAAAATTATATTTGAAACACAAATAAATAAGATTTATAAATAAATAACACTAGATTTTCAATGAATAAATTACAAAACTATTTGACTAGAGGACATAAATGCGAGTGAATGGAAAGCATGTCTTGTTCCTGGGTGAAAGTGCTGAGCTTTATAAAGGTATCAGTTAATCTCAAATCAATCATATATTTCAGGAAATTACAAACATTACACCAAAATAATAATTTTTGAGAATTAGGGAATTGATACCAAAGTTCAACAGGAAGTAAGATGGAAAATATGTGTGGATATTTAGGAAAATAGTAATAATGATAGGTTGTTTCCCTAGCAGATACAATAACATATAATAAAGCTAAAATAATCAAAACAAAGTAGAAGGATGCAGAAACAAACCAATATTTCAAGAGAACCACAGAGAAAATGTGATAAGTCATCATTTAGCATTTGATAAAGGTCTCATTTATATTCAACAGATATCTTTCCATTTGGCAAATAAACAAAGTTACATGCCTATGTTCCCAAACTCCAGATAAAAGTAAATACACATGCACCAAAACAACAAAAGTACTAGAACAAAATAGAAGAGTGATTTTATCATATCCAAATAAAAATCACCTTCCTAAACTTGTCAGGGATCACAGAAACCATCAAGAAAAGGCTAAACCAATGTGACACAATAAGATTAACAACCACTTTATGGTGGAAGACCTCATAAACCAAAGTTCTAAAATAGACCAAGGGAAAATATTTAGAACACATTTTCTAAACAAGGGGTTAAGTTTCTATAGACAATATAAGCAGATACAAGCAAAAGCAGGCAACATTATGACTTCTTAATTCACAGGAGGAAAACACTAAGTAAAAAATAATAAAGAATAAAAATTTGACCAATAGTCGAATACATTATAAATCAAACACATTCCCTTTATTCTCAACACAAGGGTAAAGTAAAGAAAAATCAACAATATCACATTATTGACAAGGAGGTGGGAGAGAGGGCACTGGCACTCACTGTAGTGAGTATAAATTGGATCAGCCTTTGGAAGTAGTTTGGACCTACCTACAAAATCTCAAAAGAGTTCCTCTGATATCCAGAATTTCCACTTTTAGGCATTTAATCTTTAGAGATACATAAGTACAGTATGCTCACCTCCAACCCCCGAATTTTCAATGCATCATCCCTTGCGTATTTTCTAGTGGAAATAATCTAAATGATCCTTAAAAGGGGAATGATTACAAAATTCTGGTACATGCAAACATTCCCTAGATAGCTATTTATGAGAATTCCATACATCCATATGAACTAATCTAGAAAATTCAATCATAGATAGCTTTAAAATCTAATTGCAGGGTAGTATACAGAGTATGACTTTATTTTCAAAAAATAATATCTCAACACCAACTTTCTCTCATTGAGGGTGTATGTGTGTGTGTGTGCATGCATGTGTATGTGTGTGTGTGTATGTGTGTGTGTGTGTGTTTTCAAGAATGTACATACAATGAAAAGTAAAACTATACAGACCAACAAGACAGTGGCCATGGAAAGTGGAATAGGTTTTGGAGGAAAGATGGTATAAAAGAGAGGGTAACAGAAAATGTTT